AGTCTGCAGGAGGGTAGATCTCCAGGAGCAGGGTTGGTGACCACTGGGGAAGAGGGTGGCTGGATTACACCAGGCTCTGCCACTGTCCTAGTCTCGCTTTCATTATCAGTGTAATCATTATTCACTAAGTGTTTCTAGTGGCTGTGTGCATACAGCATTTGTTTCCCCTGTTTCTTGTGTCACTGATGTTTAAGTTATGCTTGTGAACTATGTTGGCTTCCTATTTTTCCTACTAACTTGTCCCTAGACTTGTTTTCTGGATGGTCTTGATGCATGTTTCATCATGCATCAACCTGTGCACTCGGCTTCAACCTGCTTTTTCTCTCTTGTTAACCAGGCCTAAAAAACCTAGTCACAAATGCATCCTGCCTGCTCACATGCTTCACCTGCTGTTCCCCTTCTGTGTCAGGTAAACTCAGAAAGTGACCAGTGAGTGGAAGTACAAGGCAAGGAACTTATGCATTGGAGCCCTATACGTCTTCTGAGTTCCCTTATTTTCCAAGCCATACTGAAATCATTTGCTCCTAATGTTCACCAATTTCTTACTATATTGATTTTTTTCACAGTGAGGTTTGATCACATTGCATATTGATCACATTTGATCACATAGTTTGTTCTGATGGACTGTCATTACTTACAGCAGTTACTTTGGTGACATATATAATTACACAAGCATGGTTGCGCACAAATAAACTTTAGTGTAAGCTTTGTTGTTGTACAAGGCTCAGATACGTAAGCAGAGAAGCTAAAGCAGCTTTACGTTATGTAACATTGCAAGAACAGTCATTAACACAGGGGTCAAAGTGCCACTCTGAGTATGACTGTTTGCGCAAGAGGTATTTTTTAATCTCAGAAGGCATGGGATGTCACATATCGTCAGTGTGGTCCACATCCTACACCAGTCAGATGTTAGAACTGTTTGTGATTGTAGAGTGAGGCCATCTAGTGGTGACCTGGAGCCACCACTGCACCAACTGTCCCCTAGAATAGAGAAAGTAAATTGGGACGGTCACGCACAGCGAGTTTCAAAACTTTCCATTAAAATGCAGTCTTGTAGAAAAGCTAGCAAGAATGTTTTCCTTGCCTGTAGTTCAAAACTCACCAAATATCTCATTGCTGTAACTTCCTTTCCAACCTCCTCTGCATAGCTTCTGACCTTACTGACAAAAATCATGGAAACCATTAAAAGATTCTGCTGTTACATATAAACTCACTGGTTCACTGGTCGTTTGGGATAGTAAATAAAGTTATTACATTTGACTGTAGACATTGTGACCTCTGAGTCCTATCACCACTGTAAAGAAATCAGTAACTTTCTCTACAGTTATCACGAATGTGAATAATTCTGACTTGGTAAGTTTCTCCTGAGAGGCACATTTCACACCAAACCACTCTGAATGATTTTATTTACCCTTCCAAATCTGAGTCATGTACAACATTCTGAAAAATCAGTGGAAAGTCTCTTTACTGAGCACCATAACTACAGTAAAAATCACCTTCAGAGAAGAATATGTCGCTTAGTTAGTGTTGCTGCCCTCTGCTGGTCATTTAGGGAACATATTCAATTCAGTAGATTCTAAATGGAGCAGATCAAAACATGTTTTTGTGGAGGATCACTCCAATATACATATTTAAATCATAAGCCCCCTATTACAAAACCCAGCACAGACCAGCATGGCTGGTCACCAGCGAAACCAGCATATGTTTTGTTTTGGGTGCTGGGATGCTGGTCTGCAGCAACCTGACCACGCTGGCTGACCAGGTAAACTAGCACCAGACCAGTATATAATGCATGCTGGTATGTCCGGCTTTCTTCAGCAGGGTCCTCTTTGCTTTTTTGGCTCTGTGAGTCTTTAAATGAAATAGTGGCTGGACAAATTTAGTATTGCCTCTGCGAAGACTCAGCTGTAACTGCCTGTGTGGGCCATGTGCATCAAGGACACATTTACTCCTCTAGTTGACAGAAGACAGTAAGCCAGACATGTTGCTGTGAGTGGAGGAAATGCGTGCAGGTCTTCTGTAATTTTAATCAAATTTTGAGCTAATAATAGAACGCCAGTGCCATCGCCCACCTCCTTCAAACAAGTAATTCACAACCGCCTTTGATTTAATCATCATAATAGTATCGCAGCAACATCTGCAATTAAACTGCTGCAGAGCACCTAAAATTAACCTTAATCTAATTGCACAGAGGAAACAATAAATAAAAGGGTGAGGACAGTCATTTCTAACTCTGGCTGCTTTAGAAGAAACCCTCTACATGTAGCTTCACCTTATAGCCCATCTGATGATGCACCATTTGTGCCCTTCCTCCGAGGTCAGTTTCTGACCACAGAGTCGCTCTTGGCTTCATATCTTTTAGAGGTAGAGCACTCGCTACCTAGCAATGACACTCAGCAATACCACTGTCTTACCAGTGCTACAAATCCAGGCCTAAAGTATGTGGACCCTCCTAATAATAGAGTTCAGGTGTTTTGACCACACCAATCGCTAACAGGTGGATAAAATCAAGCACCTAGCCATGCAGTCTCCATAGATAAACACTGGCAGTAGAACGTGTCATATAGAGCTCAGTGATTTTAAACACAGCACTGTCATAAGAGGCCACCTTTGCCACAATTCAGTTTGTGAAATTTCTGTCCTGCTAAATCTGTCCTGGTCAACTGTAAGTTCTACTACTGTGCAATGGAAGTGTCTAGGAACTTTGTGGCAGCAGTTTGTGGAAGGCCCTTTCATGTTCCAGCATGACTGTGCCCCTTCCCACAGACACAATCCAGTATGTTGTGAAAAACGTTCCCAGAAGAGTTGGAGGCTGTTATAGCCACAAACTCCATGTTAATCCCCATGGTTTTGGAATGGGATGGTCAACAAGCTCATATGGGCGTGATGTATAGTTGTCCACATACTTTTGGCCGTATAGTGTATATCAAAATACAACAACTGTTATTTCTTTTCATCACAAATGTGTTGAGAGAGGAACAAATTGTAGTTTATCCAGGACGGTGCTCCATGTAAACATATAATTGCAGTAGTCAACTGTGCAGACAGACATTAAATAGAGACAAACTACACAAACACTATACAGTGAAGTCTTCTGTACATTATACAATACCTATACAACCATTAAACACAGGACAGTAGAAAAAACAGACCAATTGTTGGTCCACAGCAGCAATAATAGTGGTGTGTGTATTTTTATCAGTGCACAATTAACAATATCACTATTAACACAACTGCAAAGATTAATAAAACTGCACACAATGCACAGACTAGTGACTGTGCATATAAAGTGAGTGAGGTTGAAGTTTTACAGTGAAGCATGAGTATGGACGGTGAAGTGCAACAGATGAAAGTGAGTAGTGAGGTAGCAGCATAGTAGGAATGTTTTAGGCAGATCTGTTCAGTAGTCTGACCGCCTGCAGGGAGAAACTGTTCATGAGTCTGGAGGACTTGGCTCGGATGCTCCATAGCCTTCTTCCAGATGAGAGTGCTGTAAACAGCCTGTGTGATGGATGAGAGGGATTCTTCCTCCATCATAAGAGTGTCACTATTGTGTTGAGAATGGTCCACCACCCAAATAAAATCTGGTCAACAGAGGTCCCGTGGTCAGAGACTGACTATTGATGAATGGGGTCCAAAGTTGTTGACAAACTGTGCATGGTGACAGATGGGCTAGTGTGTACAGACTGCAAATACAGTTATACTGCATCTATAAGGTGGGTGGAGCTTATATATTGTCCAGTGAGTAGGTTTCCAATGAAGCTAATGGTCAGTGGTAGAAACTACACCCTTAAAAACGGTTCTTTAGGGCTAAAACATCAATTAGGAAGTTTAGTAGGGGTGGGCATGATAACATCTACATTTTCACAAAACACAATATGCATCACAATATTAAGTTGTTCTAAGATTTAACAAGCCTTTAATAAGAGACAAAATAGGGCCTGTAGTGCCACATATAAAAATACTAACTAGTTATTTCACTACTTGCTGGAGGTTTTGTCTGGGACTTGAGTAGCTGATGTATACATACTGCTACCTCTGATCGGTACTGTGGCAGATTTGATGCACCTGCAGCAAATTTAGACCCACCCAACTCAAATCGAACAGAAGAAAGCGGCAGAAAAGTCCCTCAACAGAAAAAACCAACAGCATTGTTTCTCTACCAGTTCACTGTTGAAACATCACAAAAACTACAGATAAAATCATGAAAAAGAGTAGTCAGGGGCTTTCAGTGTTCAGGGCTGAGAATCGTACAGAATATTTTGATACCCATAACAATATCTTGACTTCAACATGCATGTCCTACAGTGCACACGCCCTGACTGGTGCTTTTTAAAAATATTTTTGACATATTTTTGAAATGCAAAAAATTCTGAGTTAAAAGCCCTGTCATTAATATGTATGAGATGTAATTTAGGCAGCCAATCAGCAGTCTAGCATGTGTTTTGGCTCACTGACACTGATAAGAGTGGCCACTTAGGTACTGAAATTTAATGCTGAAGGACATGGAGTTTTTCAGTACTCTGTATTATGTAGCCGTAATTTGGTTGGGACCAAAAAAAGTGTTGAATTTCAATACATGCTTAAAAAAGATGGTTCTTCAAGGGTTCTTCAGTAAAGAAAAAGGTTCTTTATAGAACTATAAACACTCAAAGAATCGTTCGCATGATTAACTTTGCATCATCAAAGGGCTTTTCAGATTGATGGAGAACTTCCCGCTGTAGATGGTGCTATATAGAACCTTTTTGAAAAAAGTGCTTCTATTGTTACCATGTCTAGCTTGTAACAACAGTTACAAGTAATGGCGTTATATACAGAACTCTTTTCAAAAAGGTTCTGTATAGAACCACCTACAGCACATTCTCCATCAATGTGTAAACAACCATTTATTTACCAGAAACCCAGCTTTGATCTTTCCACACTTCTTCACTCTAAATAAGATTCATTTCAGACGATGGCTTTGTTTCCAGTGAACAATCAGAAAGCAGCTGCAAAAAAGAGACAATGTGCTTTAAAACATCTTTAATATTCAGAAAAGCCTGGAAAATAAAACAGAATTATCTTTTTATTTGCAATTAAAATCATTGCTTTGGTTCAGTCACTTCACAGAAGGCCAGAGTGATCTGTTCCAGTCCACAGGTTAGTTAAAAAAAAAAAAAAGGTAATAGTCCACAGTTTAGAAAATTCCCTAATGATTCCCTCCCTTAAACTGCTTAAAGTGCTATATTAAGCCATACGAGGAAAATGTTTAACTCCGTAAACGTACAGAGTGCGCAGACGTATAAGCTGAGATGCACCAGCACGGGGAAAATCACTCCTCTAAATAATTCAGGCACTTCTCCATCCACTGCGCTTCAGAAAAGATTAGAATACATCTCATATAAGGATTCACATAAAGATTCCTATTGCTTTGGTGCAGCACTGGTCTCTAACCACTGCACCACAACAAACAATGTACAAAGCAGAGTATGATATAGATACAAAGTATACATATATATATATATATATATATATATATATATATATATATTTTTTTTTACTTTTCTTATGGTTAATTAGGACATTTTGATGAGTGTCTGATTGGCTCGATTGAGCCCTTAACACTCGAAGAATTGGTTTCCTGGACAGGGAAATTTAAAATTATTAAATTAAATTATTATTTCAGACTTTACACCATATTTTAGCATGTTATTTTTTTCTCCTGAAACCTGAAATGCTACATCTTTCAATTTTAACAAAAAAACAACAACAAAAAAACAAAAAAAAACAGTGCTGCCTTTACCATTGTAAAATATTGCTATGGCTTACAAAAAGGTTTGTTTACCTGTTTTTGGGAGTTTGAAAAAGGGAAATGCATAAGGTAGCAGTGATTTCTAGGCAAGTTCTGGTGCTGAAGTCCAGACATGTGCTCTATCACTCGCACCTCGCCCCTCAGAGGGCTTAGAACACTTTACATGAGCTAATAAAAGTAATGGAACAGCCCTTAAGATGGCACCAGGGATTCCCTGAAGGGGAAATGGCGAGGCGAAGTTGATGAGGGCATCTTGAAACTAGTTTTGGAACGGGTGGCTGTACTACATTTTCCACTTTATTTCAGAATCTCCTTTCAGATTGCTGTGCAGTCCAGAACTAGGCTTAATCTCTGTCCAGGAAGTCAACTCTAAACGTTCTTTAACTGCACTACACATCTCACGTCTGCTTACTGCTGATATGGCTCTCAATAATGGTAGCTGAAAAAGGTAAATAAAGTGCAAAACATAGGTTAAAATTGAGAGTTGAGATCATACAATATCGCAGGTGCACTGAGTTAATGAAGACTTATACTGCCTTAGTCACCTTGAGTATATACAGCCTGCAGTTAAGAGTTTTATATGTGGTGTTTCTATGTGTTGACGGCAAATAGCTCTAGTCTACTGCCTGAACTAAAAGCCTTCTCTGCACTTTCCTACTCACATCTACAATATTCACATTCATACATGCATGAGTTCCTCATGCACACGTCCACTGAGCTTTTAATTCCAGTTGCAGTGGCACTCACTAGGGCAGCTGCCTTCCAATTATGAGATGCAGCAGAGAGATGTCTTAGAGAGTATAGTCCATTACTGCATTCTACATGATCAGCATCACTAACTTTTCTCTCTATTCCCTTAAATAATCATTCCTGTTACTTGCTGTACTTCCACAAATATGCTATTATGAAGAAAACTGTTTATTCAAGGCCTTTTTAAATGAATGACTGTCTTACTAAAAGGAAATTAGCTGGCTCCAGGTCATTGGCTGAGAGTGAAACATGATTACTGGGATGAATCCAGTTGAAAAATGGAGTAGACTGATCCAGACAGTAGCTGGAGCAGATGTGATCTCACAGATGTGTTGGAGTACTTGTGTTAGAATAAGGCAGCTCTATTAAAGGAGAATTCCACTGTTTTTCCACATATTTTTATTAAACAAAGTTATTCAGAGAAGTTTGATGTGAAATGTGACCATTATTGAGAAACCTACAGAGCAAGAATCATTCACAGCAGGAACCAGATGACCAAAGTGTTTAAAAGGCTACATCAGAGAAATCTGTTAAACAAAATGGTTATGAATATGTTGTGTGATGCCAGAGAGAGACAGACAGACAGACACACACACACACAACCTCAGCAGCCAGGCAAAAATGGTGCTAAATGCTGAACTGTGTTAATGTTGCCTTCTTACTGGGCAGTTTTTGATAAAATTTTTCATTCCACCTTAAATGGAGCAGTAGTCACTATTTAAGGTGGAACAAGAATTTTGAATTAAGTAGCCAACTCCAACTTCATCTAACTTCTCAATGTCTCATATGTGCGTCCCTTAATCTCCGACTATCAAGCTTTGGAGTTTGGAAAATCTCACAGTTACACAGCTGTCAGTACCAGCTGGTCCGTGACTTGTGACTGTGGTCTTGCCTGAGGCAGCTGACCAAGACAACCGGCTTCACGGGTAATATGAGAGGAAGCACAGCAATCAGTCTTGTGCCCATGTTATGCAAAGGCTAACCCCAAAATACCAGCCATTCCTTTAGTCCGCTGCCTTAAAAACAAAGAGGACTACTTCAGATGCAACAGACTATAGCCAGCAGGAGGAGATCGGAGGGTCGCTGTGTTTTCGCTGTGTTTTCATTTTCATTTGACATGTGACTGAAACATCCCTGACTCAGCCACTCAACTCAAGAGGTTAATGTTTGTGTTTGAATGTCACATTATTTGCACTTATTTGGCAGACCGATATATGGGTTGCTACAAAACTCATAATGAGGGAAGCTTTTGGCCTAAAACATATTTTTAAATACATTCAAGGCAGACAGGTATATACAGAGTGCTGTGAGGTGAAGATTTACCACTATTTTACCATCATCAACACTGTATATAAAAACTCAGAAAACGTGTAGGTTCATTTTGAATAGTAAATAAAATGGCTGTAATTGCACCGTAGACATGGTTCCTGGCTCCTATCACCACCACTGTAAAGAATATTCAACAAGTTTCTCTACAATGAACAATTTCACATCAAACCACTCTGAATGACTTTGTCTACATTTTAACTACTAAATTATACAGACATTCTGAATTATGAATGAACTGTGAATTCTGAAGGGAAAAAAATGGTAGAATTCCTCTTTTACCTGCAGGTCTATTTGTTGCATAATTCGTTGCTGTGTTGTATGTGGCCCTGGTGACAGCACTGCTGCACCACACAAGATCATGTGTAGAAAATAAATCACTATATGCCATTCGAATGGCACACATACAACTGTATCATGTACTGATCAAGCAAACTGAACTGAAAGCGCAAAGCCTCTCACTTAAATCTATGCTAAAAAGTGTACATTAAGCAAAGATTCTGCAAAAAAGTTGGTTAAACAAAAAATACTAATTCAAATTTGCTACTCAGTCTTATTCATAGATAGATTTCAAAAGCATATCGTCACAAAAATGATGTATGGATTCAGTGCAGGATTTTTTTCTGGTTGCACCACTGAGCGTCCTTAACAATCCTAATGTTTTTTGTCTTAAAAGGCTAATAATATCTGATTTTTGTGGAGCGCATCTGTATGTGATACCTTCCTATGAATTGTCTCATCCAGTAAACAAAACTTTGTTTGTTTGTGAACTTTGCTCCATTGGACATTTGGGGAAATTCTCCTCATTGCCAGTAAACTGTAACCCTTAGTGTTAACAGTGTGAAACGAGTGAATTGTTCTTAGTGCCAGCACTAAATGATGATCATAAATATACAATTAAACTAATTTCCCCTTTTGTTGTCCAATGTCTACGCAAAGCCATCTTCTGATTATTCTCCTGATTATTCTCACCCTCTCCGGCTCCTCAGCCTAAAAGCTGGATACAACCTGAAGCGGTTGTCCACTCACAGCATGGTATTCTCTTTCATTTTGCTACTGACCTTTGCTGTTTTAGCCTAGCGCCTGCAAGTAAGCCGTGATCACGGCACACTAAATGCCCATAAAATTATGAGAATATGATCTGCCTCTGGGTCACAGCACTTGATTGTTGTGAGAGCAACGCTGAATCCCATATTTTTTCACTGAGAGTCCAGGTGAGTGACGCAGGCGTCACAGACCCGCACCGGGTGGTCCCAGCCACGGGAGGGCACGGGCCGATTCTCAGTTGAGCAGCTCCCACACACGCCCTGGCCGCACGCACGGCAGTGGTGCTTGGGAATGCTGGAGGTGAAGGCCTTGGAACACTGATGGCACTCAGTGATCTCATGGTCCGGCACCCAGTAGTCAGGCCGCGCCACACCCTTGACAAAGCCTGCAGAGACGGGGAGAAATCATGAATACAAGAGCCAACAAAGGGCATGATGACTGTGTTAACTTTATCCTGTAACTTAAATTTGTTTCTAAAGACTAATAAAGGTTGTTATGCAGTCTTCTCTAGCGCAGCATTGTACCCCTCAGTCTCTGTGGTCTGAAAGAATTTGCGATATTATATTGTTTTCATATAGTTTCCTGTTACTATATAGCCATTTTCACACCTGAAAGTCCAAGGTTCATGTTTTTGTTACACTGTATACATTTAATCCAGTTAGTTTTGGTTTCACATTGCAATTTAGCGAGCTCACTAAAGAACACTGCATGACAGTTTAATCAGCTCTTCTCCTTCTGGTCTTGATTGCTAAGCCTGAACGTGAAAAACACGCTCATTATCATATGAACGACGAAATACAGAAATAAATGAATTAATGAAAAAATAAATAAATAAATGAATGTGAATGAATGAATGAATAAAGCAAACAATTGTTAAAAACATAGATATGGAAAAAATATATATAAAATGGCATTAATAAAACAAAATAAATAATACAGAAATAAATGAATTGAGAAATGTATAACTGCAGAAAAAGGAAACGTGTGTAATTACAATCACAATAAGCAATATATACTTTATTTCGTTTTTTTTTATTGAATGATTAATTTACTGAGCCATTTATTTTTTAATGTTATTTATTTTTCAATTTGGCTAATCTGGTCCTCCATACCCATTTGCTATGTACGATGGTTTAGTTTAATCCGGACCAAGACCACCTGTTTTGGTCGGACCAGATTTTAGTCCTTTGGTATGGATTGTGGTCCAAGGCACCTTTCACACCTGCTATTTTGGTTCATATCAAGCTGAAAAGTCAGAAGGTCCGAACCAAACAAGGTAGGTGTGAAAACACCCATATTGTGTTACCATTCATCAATGTTCTTTCACTGCAATGCACAGCATGCACTATGCAAATTTATCATTTAACCACTAAGAATCCGTGTGGTGTTAACCAGTCCTGACTGACAGCATAGCCATTGATCCATGGGATAATAAATACAACTAAGGTAGCATTAGAGTAACACTTACCTTGGTCATCGAACAAAACTGTATAGAACAGCAACTAATTTCTGTCATTTGAGCAATCTATTCTCACCATTTTAATGAATAAGACAGTTACAGATGTATAGCTGTGATATGGAATTCAGATTCTTAGCAGTAATGTAAGCTCTTTGCCATCCTTCTCTGCTGACCAGCTAAAAAACAGCCCACCTAAAATGAAAACAAACAAACAAAAACCCTAAAGCAGTTCTAACTTTTTCTGAGGTTTTTCCCACCTTCAACAACAGAAGGAGATTTTCATTGCTATAAGATGCAAATAAGCATGTTTGCAACCACTGTAGCGATGGTTTTGGCTGGTATGTCCCTTTAATACACTTCACATGATTACATTTTAAAGCTGAGCTATGTAAGTTTTGGGGATTTGGAGACCCTTTTGGTGGAAATGTGTAGTTGCACACAATGTGCAGAAGAACATTTTGTAACATTAATTGCACTCTGAGCCACTTTTCTTGACTCAGTAATGCTACTTCTGTCTTAGTTCAGTTTTAACAAAAAATCTTACATTTTACAGTGCTGCTTTAAACGAATAAACGAGTGCAGTTTAGCTGTTATGTTTGTGTTTATTCATTTTATATGCGTTTGTTCATTTCTTATTTTCATTTTTTGCTATTTTAAATTCAATTTTAGGGATCAGCTGGTGCTATTTATATTCTCACTGCTCTTATCCTGTTTTTTAAGCTTAATTCATAAATGCTTGTTAAATAGCGTGATCTTTTTTTCTGTTTCAATTCTTTTGCAAAACTGGGGTGGATTGTTCATCAGAATTCTTTGGCAAAAGCTTGTTTTGTGTGTTCTTGTGTCCCTGTACTCTACTTTTTTACATTGCGCAGTTATTTTTAAACTTTGTAATGTCTAAATTCTCCAGGGGCAGGGCTGTAATATAAAGAAATAAGCTTTCTACAGGACGCTACTCCGCAATCTATCTGAATTTATAATGTCTAAATGAGCACTCTACATTATAAAAAGTTTGGTGTTTTGGTCCTTGACTACTCCAGTCCTCGCAGGCCAAAACACTGCAGACTTCAGCAGACTGCCACATTAACACACCTGATTCAGCTCATTAGCTAATGAGCAAGGGCTTCATGAACTGAATTCAGAGTGTTAGATGAGGGTAAACGCTAATCTCCACAGCACTTTGGCCTGTAAGGTCCCCAGTTTCAACCTTTATTTTGCTTAATTTAATTTCATTTAATTTCATTTTATTTTTGCTATTACCACATAACTTGCTTGGCTACAGTTAAACCAGCAAACTGTAAACATCACACTGTGTTTTTAATTGCAGGATGAGCATTAGAAAGTTACATAATTGGAAAAACAATAGGTTAGTGTGTCAAATGAACAGCAATATCCACTGATCGGAAGGGTGGGGGATTCACAGGCTGCCATGTGATATGAGTGAGGCTAATGTTTGTGTTCTATAGTTGGCACACTCACAGAGAGGGTAGTCCACTGCATTGGAGACCATGTTCAGCGTAGACTGGGCTACTTCTGTCACCCTTCGGGCCACCAGTGTCCGAGGCTCAGTCTGGGATACTTCAGGAAGCCAGAGCAACAATAAGATTGGCTTAGCTAAACAAACACTTACATGTTCATGTGTCTTTCTGAACATTAGGATAATGATGAACCTCTTCAGGTTTTATTACCCTCTACAGTTGTACACTGCTTGCTACAGATGTAGCTGTGATTACCATGCAACTTTGACTCAAGTACTCTCCTTAAGAGGAGTTTTTTTTTCAAAATTAATAAACTTAGGATGTAAACAAAGTCATTCAGAGTGGTTTCATGTGAAATGCCTAATTCTAGAAAAATGTACAAAATCAGTATTTTTCACAGGAACAAGACGCCTGAAGTGTTTAAAGGGGAATTCCATCAGTTTTTCACAATTTCTGTGGAATTAAAAGGTTAATATGTAAACAGTCATTCAGAGTGGTTTGATGTGAAATGGTCCATTCTAGAGACATTTAATAAGTCCAGAGTGTTCCCAGTGTTGATGACAGGAACCAGACATGCGAAGAGTTTAATGACTTTAAAAGCTCCCTCCCAGAAATGTATTACATGAAATAGTTACAGATACATTGGCTGATGTCTGAGACTTTGTTTCATGGTAGTTCTGAGAAAAGACCCCAAAGAAACTCTTTTTCTCCTCATTTACCACGGTTTTACAATCATCAACATTACATATAAAACTTAGAAGACATATGAAGGTCCACTGGTCATTTTGGACAGCAATTAAAATGGCTATTTTTGCATTATCATTGTATTAGACATTGCAACAACAGTGGTTCCTATCATCACCACTGTAAAGAAATCAGAGCTAGCAAGTTTCCATACCATGTATTTCACATAAAACCACTTTGAACAACTTTGTCTCAATGACTGAACTATGCAGAAATGTTAAAAATCAGTGAGATGTTAAGCCTCTTAGCGCTACCTCACAGACATTATTATATGAAGTAAGTACGAATACACTGCCTGATATCTGAGACACTGTTTTGTAATAATTTTAAGGTTGTGGTCTAAATTTTTTTAATCCATTTATGGCGGAAAGATACATGCAAGGTGTTATAAGTCAAAATAGTCCCCAAAGAATTTTCTTTTTCAGATTTATCATAACCATTATTAAGATTACACATAAAAACTGTACATGTGTAGATTGACTGGTCATTTTATATATTAAATAAAAATGCCACACTACATTTGCATTGCAGACATTGTGACCTCTGGTCCCTATTACCACCACTGTGAAGAAATCAGAGTCGGTATGTTTTCCTAAAATGAAAATTGATCCATTTCACATCAAACCACTCCGAAGGACTTTGTTTACATCTCAAGTGCAATTTATGCACAAACTTATGCAGAAAAAAAAAATCTGTGAAATTCAGTAATTTCAGTATTATTCAGTAACTACAGAGACTTCAATGCAAACTGGCTAAGCTATTCTTAGGTTATTTAGGTGTGTAATAAAAAACTTTGCGGCCCGCTGGTGGACCCTGGCCATTTAAGGGGTTAAACATGTTATCTTGAAGTTCATATTGCCGCAGTCCGTGCACTCACGTTATCAAGTTATCAGTGTTTGCATGCCATCTGAACATCAAGCAATTTCCCAGAAGTGAGTCATCTTTACTAGCTGTGTATTTCTACACTGAGGCTTCTATTCTCACCTTGGACAGTTTGTGAAGCTCCTCCTTGGCGGTGGCAGACATCACACACCCTTACTGGGCTGCTGCCCCAGCCTCTCTCAGGCACAGGCATGCTGCGGGTGGAACAGGCCTGACAAAAGCCCTCTCCACAAGAACGACAGTGGTGCTTCCTCTCTGCCTCCTCGAACTTTCGATTACAGCCATGGCATACCTTCAAAAGGGAATGTTACAGATGAGTATTTACTTCATCAAACTTTATTCTCCTTAAACTGTTTCACATATTATTTTACTACCCATTTAAAATAAGTCAGTCAATTTTAGTCATGGTACCTACTGAGTACTGTAACTACTGGGTCTCATGCTGTGCCAGCTTAACCACTTATCAATTATTGCTTTTAAGTCTGCAAAATCAAGCTCAGGTCGTCAAAGGTCACAGGCTTGCCGAGATTAATGTTTCCCCTCTTCTAAATTCAACTTAAAAGACCTTTGTAAATAACTAATGATCATTTGTAGTAAATGCAAGATTTTATTTGTAAATTATTGCTTGCCACAATAGCAGCATATACAAAATAGTGGATTCAGCACTGCTCCACTAAATATTCCCTTGAAGCTGGGCCTGATATTACGTGGGTTTCCTAAAACTAAACAGCTTCCAGTGCTGAGTAGTTAATAAATTAATGTCACAAGCTAGTGGTGTAGCTCAGCATTACTAAAATCTTTTGAGGGATGATCAATTACAGCAACAGTGGCACATTTGTGAGTGATTATGAGAGTCAGTGTTGTTTTAGTATTTTATTATTTTATTTATTATTATTTCTGTTACTGCATGCCCAAACTGGAGTTGAAAGTAAAAATGTGTATGCGCAAAGGCAGGGACAAACTTCTTATTAATACCACTGATTTCGAAAGAAACACTGGCGGTTAACTTACTATGATCTCAGCATTAGGTCTCCAGTATGGGGGAGCCACCTGGTCCGTGATCCAGGCAGTGACTGCTTTGGTGGGGCCAGCGCTGTACTCAGCCATAGACTGGATGACATAGTTAACTCCGTCCAGCACCCGCTGAGCAGCATTCTGATTATCTGTCTGGAAGGCCTCTGACTACAAAGAGTTCAGTCAACATAAGTGTCTTCCGAATATGTGGAGAGCAAGGAGAAAGATCAACAATAACAAACTTACCCCCTGCCAGACGTGCTTGACCTCGGGGCGCACCACGCTACTCTCAGGGTCCTGGTTCCCCATCCAGTATTGCCTGCTTCGGTAGATGATGCCACAGTTTGGACATTCCAGAACATAGCTGAACAGAAATACAGGGAGTTTGAGGGAAAGAAGCAGAAAATCGGTAAAGGCATACATGCTGCTAAATGACTCACTTACCCCGACCAGGCATATTTAGCTAGACCAAACCATGGGTTATCAGTAGAGGCAGATGTTTTGGGTACGACTATCACCTCCCTTCCACCCTCATAGCATCTCTGGAGAAAGGAAGGCATACATCTATCAAAGTCTATGCCAATATTTTTTTGGAATATATCTAATGTTTAATGTAATGTAAAAGTACCTTGCAGATGAGGACCTTGTTATTGTACTGATGGGCATACTGGCACAGTCCATCAGCCATATGTGGCACTCTGTCTTTCTGATGGTTCATTCCATTCTTACACCGAACACTGAAACCATAAGAAAGACATTACAACTAAGCCGTCCCACCTTAATCGGCAAAACAACATATTTTTATATGCTGAACAAAGTTTGACCTGGCACCTACATCACAAACAATTGTACAAACATTCCAACTATGGTATGAACTGTATGTGTTTTTTCATTTAATATATTTTTTTCCATTAACAAGATAAACAAATGTTTTAATTTCATCAGTCCACTGGTACTTCACACCATCTGCAGCAAAAATGGAAACATGATCAGTCATATGACTATTGTATTCATGCACTTCAAGTAACTGTGCAAACTTCTAAGTCAATTATGGCAATTTTATTAAATATTTGTCATTTCCATAAAGTCTTTGTTTTTTATTCGATATACACGTAAAATATGTGGATGGAAACCTAGGTAACATGACCCTCATTTTCTTTTGTCTTATTTATGTGCTGAATGTTTGAGGGCCTAATAGTGATCCCTGCCACTGACCTCTAAAACTCTGCAAGTTATCTTGTTAAAAAGGGACCAAGTGCTGAAAAAAGTAGTGCATGATGTAAGCTTGTGAAATCACCACCATGCAGTTGAACCACTCAACGCAGCACATTTATACAGCATATTCCACAAATCCTACAAACCTTCATTTTCCATCTTCCAGTTCACATCCACTGATGCAGCATAATAACAAGGTGCACTTACTTGCAGCTGAGGCAGACAGAAGGGCAGGTGAAATACTCGTCAGGAAAGAAAGAGTACATGCTGACTTTGTCATCCGAGATCTCCCCACAGAACCTATCGCTCAAGGCCTGACAAAAAGTACAATAGAAGATGATCATTCACTGAGTTTATATTAGTGCGTCATTCTCCACTACTGTACGGGTTTAACAGGTCATTCAAGTGCTTACACACGCACACAAAAAATGAAAGAGGTGCTACCTGCAGTGCACTGAAGACGATGGCTGGCTGGCGGGGGGCTCGGGAGGCTGTGTTTTTCACCTGCTGCCGGATGGTCTCCAGAAACTGGGAGTAGTCTGTGGGGGGAGTGATAGTTTGTGTGCCCACATACTGCACAGAGCTGAAGGCCTCTGTGCTCTGGCCTAGGTCATGGAAACGCTTCTGTAGCAGGACATCTGCAGGCACTGTGCCGTCTGTAGGGGAGGAGAAGTGCTTACTAGTATCGACATTAACCCTAAAATGTCATACTTATCAAACACAGCCTTTCCTCAAATTGGGGGAAAATGTACTGCCCAGCGTGGATGAGACACAGATATTAAGACACAAGTTAACAGGCAGGCTAATGTTTGCTTCCTAGTAAAAGTGGGCGAAATGACAAAAATATAATGTGCTACTTTATTATTTTTGACATATGATGTTATGTTGAACATTGAAACAAAGAACCAGAAATGCCACATTTCAAAAATGTGTTATTAAAAACTTTAACAAGAAATGGTTTTTATTTAATGTTTCACATACTGTGTTGCACTAAATCCAATTAAACGGGACTAATCAGGTATAATGGTCATTTAAAATATTGCAGTATTTAAAAATGATGAGATTTCAAAACTATGACATGTCAAATTTCTATTCCATGTCTGAATGGCCAATTAAAAACATTCCAACCATTTATATTTTAGAGGGGCTCATTGATTGGTGGTGCTGATACAAAGATGGAGACGAAGAGCCAGGAAAACCTTTGAAAAACTAAGCATGATGGTGGCTCAGTGATGGCTACGATGTACATACGCCACAGAATATGTCTAATTTCACCTTTTCTCACCTTTTACACTCGAATTTGCGCTCATTTTAGCATCAATTAGCTAGAACCAAGTGCTGTGGTGTGTGGCACATTTTGCCTGCTACGCAATCATTAGCTTAGTCAAAATGCTACAGTTCCAAACAGGACAGAACAGGTTCGATTTCAGCTTTCTGTTAGTCTAACGATCCACCACCAGTGACTCCACTTTTGCTCTCTCAAACATTAGTTTTTTTATCATCTACACTTCTTTCAGCAGCGCTGTCTGGGTCTGTAGCCTTAATGCTAAACTACCGTTATTAGGCTACAAATTTAAACGCCACAGAATAGGTTTCGTTTTGCCTTTCTAGCCGTTTTGCCTTTCTAGCCTAACTTCACTCCCTCAAACCTGAATCATCTAAAATTGTGTTGGTTAACCAGAATCAAACATGTTCTGTGGTGAGCAGAGCTGTTAGCATGCTAACTAAGCAGCACTCGTTAACATCTATCATCTAGTTAACAGCACTTGCTAACATTTAGCAATTGTTAGATATATGGCCTGTCCTTTATGGAACGATGGCTTGACAATCACGCACTGCGTTTACATATTTGGTTACCATACAAGTGAACTAAAACTTTGATTATTTTTGATTTGGAAATAACCCTGGAAGAAAAAGCACAAAGTCACCCACTGCAGTAATGCCGTGTACTGTAGTAATATCTGGAGACTGTTTTAAGGTATGAAAAAAGTGAAGACAGTGTAAACCTAACAATGCCCTCCCTGTAAGTTTACAATTGTCAGAGCTGACGATTAGTCAGCACTCTTTAAGTACTGACGATGTTTGAGTTCTTGTGTTAGGCTTTACACTATTACGCAATTCTTTTTTATCAGCACAAGTCCATTCCAACAATCATGCTTACTTACATATCTGACTTTTTAAAGCAAATATCTACAGACTGAGCACATTTATTGAGTGTCTTCTCTATCAATACGTTTAAGCAATAGTTTACCTTCCTAATGCTGACACTGACACTAATGCACACTGTTTACTAGGGGTGTAAAATGCATTGACATATCATGATGCAATGAATAATTTCCTTAAGGATCATAATTCATTTCCATTCCTGCTGTTTCCTAATCCATTGTACACCTTCCCCAGATAATCTGCAGCTGAACGAAATACACCAACAGTAATGAGCAGATGATTTCTTGATGTTGATATGGAGGTGAATGCCACAGGTGGTTTACATAACCTGAGAGATGTGGCAAACATCAAAGGATGGAAAAAAGTTTCTTTCCACTACGGATTTCACGTTTGCTTTGGCTGCTTTTACTTTTTGGTGCAAAATCTGGCCAATTTCTCACCGTGACCCAGCAGCTGAGTGCGTGAAGTCTCCTGGAACACCACCACTGCAGGCCCCAGGTTAGAGAGCGGTACGTCCAGCCCACAACGGCTGGAAAGGGCACGCAGTTGGGGGGTAAAGTGCTTCAGGTAGGCGGCCGAGGCGCTTCCCAGGAACTGGAAGAGGTCATTGTGCAGCCGTTCAGCCCGAGTGCGGTACACGGCGATGTCCGACACAGCCAGCACCTTCAGCAGCAGGCGCATTCGCTGGTTCATCTGTGTGGAGGCACCGAGCAAGCCCTCTGTATCTAGTACCACCAAACCCAGGCACTGGTCATAAGCAGCCCACACCCCGATGGTGCAGGAGGTGGGAGAAGGAGACGTGGCAAAGACTTCCTCACCTTTGAAAAGTACATGGTTGAGTGTGTGTGATTTGCCATCACCTGTGTTGCCAAAGATGGACAGTACTTTGACTCCTTGCCCAGCACTACAGCCCAACTTCTGCAAGAACTGGGCTTCATCCTTCACCTGCAAGACAGAGTAAATGAGCTAAAGTGAAAAATTAGCTAATATGCTAAGTGAGTATACTTCCAAGAACATGTGACAGTGAAAATAGTGCATACAGAAAACGAACAGGATACAACCAATAAATAAACACAATGCAGAGCCACAATGTATATCTATGGAAGCCCATTGCCGCTAGGTTATATTTTCTCCTTTTGTTTCTAGCATCAGTATGTCAAAATATTAACTTTCTCAAAATACTGATTTAGTATGTCAAAATAATTACTTTTTTTTTTCAAAATAATGAGTTGTTTTCTCAAAATATTGAATTTATATACACTCAGTGAGCACTTTATTAGCTCCTGCTGGCTTTTGTTGTGTTCAGCATGAATGGATGTAGGAGAATGAATGCAAGCTGTGTAAGACAGAGAGAGCCTTCTACTGACCGAACCTTTCCTATGTCTGGTAAGTACCAAATATGTTATGGTTATAGTCATACTTTATTGACTCCTAAAGTTGGATTGTCATCTGACATTCAACTGTACATTATATACTGTACAGTACTGTACAAAAATCGTAGGCACTCATGAAATTAGGAACACATACCTTGTCTCTGCACTCACTGTCCCTTTTATCAGCTCCACTTACCATATGGGAGCACTCTGTAGTTCTACAATTATAGTAATCGCAGTGCTCCTGTATGGTGAGTGGAACTGATAAAATGGACAACACAAGGACATGTACCTAATAAAGTGCTCAGTGAGTGTATAATGATATAATGACTAGGTTTTTAACTTGGTATCTTAGTATCTAGAAACCTAATAACTTAGTTTCTAGAAATAATGCCTTATTTTCTAGAGATTTTGAATACCACATCAAAAAAGCAATTATTTTTGTATCATTAGTCGTCATAAGTCACTATTTTGACACAGTAGCTAAGTCAATTTTGAGAAAATAAGCCATTGTTTTGACATGATAAGACAATTTTGAGAAAAAAAATGTTAATATTTTGAAAAAGTAAGGCAATGTTTTGAAAAAATAACTCATTATTTCGGGATACCAAGTCAAAGGTTTTGCACGTTGCACACAATGCTGGCTGAAAGATAGGATGAGAAAAATCATAACTGTTTTTTCTCCTCTTTCTGGCCGAAACGGGCTTCCATAGATATCACACTGCATATCGGCTGCGTGTAAAAATACATTAGCATTTATACGTGCAACATATCAGTCTTTCTAAAGCTCACAAGAGAAAACCTGAGTCTAGCTGTCAAGCAGTACAAAGGAGGGCTGTCACATTTGTCATGTTCCCTGAGGGACTTTCCATTGGCAAAATAACCAACCACATTAAATAACTTCACAACATACGTGACAGTGCATTAGCTAAGGAAAAACATCAGTAATGAACTACGTAAAAGCGTACTAAGCAAATATCTTCGAGTCTCAATCGTGTCTGAACGCTATAGCCAAGTAACAGCAGTTAACGTTAGCTCCGCTGGCTAACACAAACAAACTACACGCCTTCGTAGGCAGGCTAGGCTAGCTGTGTTACCTCTAAACAGTTCTTCAAGAACTAAAGTCTTGTTAGGCATGTTCTGTTCTGTACTTTGTTGGTGTGGTTAGTTGTCAGTCTCGTGTCTAACAACCATTTAAATGTTAAGACAGTTATCTAACCAGACTAACAAAGGCCGAAGAAACTGAAGAAGGCTAGAGTGTCAGTCACGTTAGCCTAACGTTAGCTGCCTGGCGAATAACTTCGTTCATATTATAAACATTTCAAGCTGAGCTAACTTAGCTAACGTTAGCTACAAGAACCGAGCCGTGCATTTACTCTGCGTTAAACTGTCGAACTAAGGAAAACTGTTTTAGCACGACAGAGTGTGGGGGCATTTCCACTAAACCGGTTATTGCCATATATTTCTGTGAAATTAAAATGAACTGTTTTGACATACAGTTTAGCAAGCTAGGGTAACGTTGACTGCACTTCTTGTGAGGTGACGTAACCGACGTTACCTGCAGGGTTTCGTTTTCATCAACTAAGAGAAAACTCCGTCGTTCACTCTCCGTCTCTTCTTTCTTTGGCAGCGGAGAAAGAGACACGTTGTCAATCTCTTTTAGCAACATTTCAGACATAATGACTGGATTTCGAGCATGAAAAGCGAACTAATTAGGTAGCTAACAATGCTGCACTCTGTAGCCACTAGCTTGGAGCTCTGTGAGCTCCTGCTGGCTCTGCCTCACTGTTTTGTTGTGTTCAGCGTGAATGGATGAAGGCGGAGAATGTGCGTCTGAGAGAGAGAGAGAGAGAGAGAGAGAGAGAGAGAGACAGGAAAAGAGAGAGAGAGCCTTCTACTGACCAATCCTTTCCTACCTCTATATATGTTATGGTTATGACCATACTTTAAAGCTAGAAATTAAACCAAGGTGAGGAGAAATAAGTTTAGGTGTACTGAAATTATAGACAGCTCTTTTCTAACCTAGTTTGACACGTGTTACAACCTTCATAACACCTTTATAAACACATCTACTTTAATTTGATTCATGAACAGCTTTTTGCAACTCTTATTTATTTATTTATTTATTTAAACATTTCACTTGTGAAACACAGTGTGTTTTTGCATGTAAAAAAAACTATATAAGATTAGAATAAATACAAAAACAGTAAAAGGGAAAAATAAGTTTGGTTCTTGATTTTTGCTGCACTTGAACCACTATATAGCTTTACTATGTTCTGTCAGCAGCACACCTCATTTAATTTAAAGGTGCAGTGTGTAAGATTTAGTGGCATCTAGCGGGGAGGTTGCAAATGACAACCAATTAAATATCCCTCCCTAACTCCTCCCTTTCCGAGTGTGTAGTACACCCACGGTAGCAGTATTTTTTTTCGCTACTCTGAAAATGAGATTTCATCTTTCCTCGCTTTTTCTTGTGCTAAATAATAAATATGATTCTTCATTTGTGAAAATGTGGTTTCTCAAACTTCTCACAACACAAAAATTGTCAACCAGCGCTGACAGCAACCACTGATTGTTCTTCTTTCTGCATCTTCCACCTGGTGCTATACCTCCACTAAATTCAAGCTGCTGCTACACCGTAAAAATGCAGAAGACTCTCTCTGGAGCCAGTGTTTGGTTTATCCATTCTGGGCTACTGTAGAAACATGGCTGCACAACATGGTGGCCTTTGTTGGAAGTGAAGCCGCTCCCTATGTAGATATGAAGGGCTCATTCCAAGCTAACATTTCTTAGTTACGTGTGATTATACACTAATGAAACATGGTTTTGTACACTGTATCCCATTTCTGCTAATAGATCCCCCTAAATCTCACACTGCACCTTTAATGAAGGACTGATCAGCTGAAACAGGTATAGGACAGCAACTATACCAACTGGACTTCCTCATAGAGAGGTTTGAAACGGTTAAGCTAACACTCACACACATCAAATCACAATGTGCTATTTATTTGTCTAAAGTTATAAAGTTAGTGTTTTTTAATAATAAATAAATGATTACTGTCCATGTAAGTAGATTTACATATTTTCTCAGATGCCTAACTGTTCACTTACTATACTGCACTTACCACACTTAGAAGTTCTACAACTGTAGTCCTTCTATTTCTCTGCATAATTTATTAGCCGTCTTTTACTCTGTTCACTAATGGTTGGGACCCCTGCAAGACCACCACTGCGCAGGTAATAGTTGGGTGGTGGATGATTCTAAGCACTGCTTTGACATTGATGTACTACTTGAAATTTTTACACAGCTTAGTGTGACTGCTGGACTGAGGACTTTATGTCTACAAAGCGGACCAACAAGGTAGGAGTGTTTGATAGAGTGGACAGTGAGTGGACAGTGTTTAAAAACTCCAGCAGCACTGCTGTATCTGCTCCACTCGCACCAGCACAACACACACTTACACACCACCACCATATCAGTGTCACTGTAATTGTAGAACTACAAAGTGCATTTATATGATAAGTGGAAGTGATACAATGCACAGTGAGTGTACAAGGTAGGTATACCTAATGAAGTGGCGAGTGAGTGTATAGTACTAAGTAGTTTAATCACTTTTAACATGAAGTGTTTTTAAACATTAACCCTCAATGAATTATGTTAAATAATTAATTATAAATTTTAAAAATAATTTTATTATGATGAATAAAGAAAATAGATGGTATCTAAAGTTAGTGGTGAGTGATCAACAAGTTCTGTATGCTGGGCTGTTTATATGCATGTACTTTTGTATGTACGTTGCCATCATTTGTTAAGTATGTGTTGGCCTAACAACACAGTGTATTTTCTTATATCTACATAATATTACACACAACATCACACAAAATCGAAAACACATTAAAATATAAGAATAAAAATATCTTCTTCTTCTTTTTATATAACTAACTTATTACACAGGGACCAGCTAGTTACTATTAGTATCCTTCTGAAAGCTATGCATCCAGATGCAGATGATCCACTGTAGCCTGTTTGATATTATTATTATTATCATTATTATTATTACATTTTTTCATTGTTTCTCTTTCTAGTCCATTAAACTGAGTTAGTCAGAGTGGTTTGATGTGAAATGCTCTACAGAAAAGATACAGGATTATTCACAGTGGTGGTGTTAGGAACCAGATGTCTGAAGAGTTTAATGCCCCCTCACAGGAAGTCATTACATGGAATGTTTATAAATACGCTGCCAGACATGCATTTTTGGGCTATTTTTAAAAATCTATTTATGGCACATGCAGGACATTGTAACGCAAAATAGTCCCCAAACAGAACTTGTTTTTTCAGAATTAACACTATTTTACCCTCACCAGCGTTATATATAAATTTCAGAAGTCATGTGTATGTCCACTGCTCATTTTCGATAGTAAATCAAATAGCATATACTTGTGTTGTAGACATCATAACCCCTGGTTCTCATCACACCACTGTAAAGTCATCAGAGTCATTGATTTCTCTCAACCAGTGAATTATGCAGAAATTTAGAGAAAATCAGGGGACTTCCCCTTTAAGGCCTCTGAACTGAGTTTTGTGTGCATCAGGGAGGAAAATGTGTGAGTTAGCAGAAAGTTGTATACTTGTGTCTAAAACATCACCATCAGCAAGAACTTGTATATTTATTGAATAGAAAATGGCTTCTTGTCCCATTTTCAGCTGGCCTTTTTAAAAATGCAGTAGACTCACCGGCTCCATCTGCTGGACAAAAAGGCCTCTGGGCTGATCCATTTGAACTACTGCGTGTAGATGTCATGTTTGAATTCAAGAAAAGCGGTGACAAAATATGTCTTAACATGTTTCTGACAGCTTTCACTGGCAGAAGTGTGCTGTGATCAGGATAGTTTTGAAAAGTCTGGATTCACACTAGAACTCCTGTCCCAGCTGCAGGAGCTGTTTTTGTGCCAACTGTGGCCTCTTACATCAGCAGCAGAGACACAGTAATGTCTGATAAACACTCATTATTATTCCAGATAACCAAAACATTATAATGGCATTTATTGGTTCTTTAATTATAACTCAGCACTCTCTCGTTCTGAGTAGCTGAACAGTGTACTGTCATCTCATGCTACTCCAGATGTTTGCTCCAGGTGGTGCCATAGAATCCAACAAGTTATAGCAGACTCAGGGCTGCACTGCATAGACCTGAGAGACAAAAGCACAAACACTCTTGCTCTCTCCCACTCTCTCTATCTCTCTCGCTTTCTCAGAAAAATAGAAAGACAGCAATCAGATAGAACAAAAACAGATGATTCCTAATAAGGTATTAATTCTAAAGGCATCTGTTTTGTTTCATACTGTTATCATTTGTGCTGTTCTTTAAGTACATTGTTAAGTATTCATATTTTTATTAAGTATATACAGAAAATGTACAAAAATTGTGACCATCAGATAAACTGTGCTTTCTTCTTTGAGAGAGAGGAGAAAATCAAGCTGCATCAGATCTGAAAAAATCCACAGGTGTTTCTGTCCATCCTTCCACTGTGAGAAGACAACTTAGCGCTAGGAGTCTGAAAGGGTGTGTAGCTGACAAAGAAGCCTTTACTGAGAAATGGAAACAGACAAATGAAACAAAGAAACTGAAACAAAGAAACAAAGAAAATAGCCTGTCTACCCCAGAGTCCAGACCTCAACATCACTGAATGTGTTTGGGATTACTTGGATTGTGAGAAGCAGAAAACACACCCAAGTTCTAAGACTGAACTTTTGAAGTGTGAGAAAAATAATCCTGCAAGTGTCCTAGAAAAACCGAGCCCAAGTCTTCTGAAAAAGAATGGAAGCTGTAATAAAGGCAAAGTGTGGACAAACTAAATACTGATAAATTTGATATTTCATTCAGTTGTTGTGTTTTTGGTGTCGTTTTTTTGTTAAATAAATGTTACATACCTGCTTTTTGTGTGCACATGTTCTGCTTTGCATACACACACACACACACACACACACACACACACACATATACATACACTCTCAGAAAAAAAAGGTATGTAACTGTCACTGGGGTGGAACCCTTCGAGGGTACATCTCAGTACCACACACTCCTTCTTGTCTCCATTCTTTTAGTTTTATTGTTCTGTTTTAAACCATTAGGTTATGAAAAGGTATAAATATGTATCTTTCTCCTGGGACAAACTTACGTAAAGGACACAGCTGGACCTTAAAACCGATGGTGTACCTTTCAGGGTACATTTGCTTTGTTTGTACCGTGATGAATGAAACATGTACCTGCACAGCGCCTTTATTTCTGACAGTGTAGACACATACAGAGCCCAGCAGTCCAACCTTGACTTTACAGTCCATGTTTTGGCTCCGAGGCGGGACTGCTGGACACTTAAACCGAGAGACATTCTGGTCGTTGTAGTATAGACCCGTCGCCCGCTTTAACACAGCCCGCAATAAAAAACTACATTTCCCCTGCCGTGCGAGTCGCGAATCGCGCTCCTATTGGCTGGCTCGTCCAGCCGCAGCCCCAGAGAATGAATGAAATTGAAATTGCTGGTATATTAGGACGCTTCATGTACAATACCGGGGATCTGCAGCCTTACATTGTATCATTCTATATCAAAATGGCCACAGCGGTCCAAAACCCTCTGAAATCGTAAGTTAAACATTTTCATCTTTTCTCATTGATTTTTCTGGGGAGTGAGAAAAAGAACTCGCTGTTGGGAATATTCAGAATTACGGAGAATCGCTTTAAACCCAGAGAAAAGTCAGTGTTACCGGCAGGATTTTCAGGCTGTGCTGATGCGCTGTAATGTAGTGCGAAGGAACCGGAGCGCAGGCTGATGTTTCAGCATCTCGCCGAACACGTTCTGGTTCCGAGAGGCAGAGGTGGTCGTTATTATTTCCCAGCCGTTTTTTTTGCGTACGGCCGATATGGAGGAATGTTGAAGCGGCTTTTAATGTGACCCGGCGTCCTCCCGTTCAATACATCGATCGCGGTGAACTTGCTTGAGGACTCGGCGAGTTTTAGTCGCGTTTGTCTCGAACGGAGGAGAGTGTTTCCCCCCCGGTTCAGCGGGTAATTTCACCTGTGTGCATTGTGTGAGGAGCCACAGCGTTCATTGGTATGCTGGCTGTGGTAACACCGGCTACTGTGGGAATCCAGGTCCCCTCGTCTTCCTCTTCCTCCTCTTCTTCTTCTTTTTTACTGAGCTTAAATTTGAAAAATGGCCCCCACGACCAACTCTTCTTGTGTATGAACCAGAGAGTGCTAACAGTGCAGAGTGACAGCTGTTTTCGTGGGCGATATTTGGGCTAGCCTAGCTTAAATTTCATCCGCTCTCTTCTGGCATGCGAGCAACTAGCAGCCCAAACACTGAGGGAGATGCAGCAGCGGACGTTCAGTCAAGTTTTCATTAGATTCCTTTGTGTGGAGTGACAGCAGAAACGGCTCGGCAGGCGGGCAGGTTCCCGGTGCTTTGAGCAGCTCTGAGGCAGAGACCTGCTCGAAGGGCTCATGCTGCACATTTCTGTATTTCCACATTTCCACAATTCACTAAATATGTTCTGTGTTCCTTGTATTCCGTGTGGTGAGGATGCGAGGCAGCAGCGGCAGCAGCGTGTGTTGGAGCTGCTTCTGTAAGTGAAATGGAGCAGACTGGAGACATTTGGTATAAATCCTGACAGAAAATTGAGGAGGATAAGCACCTTTTTCTACGTGCCTCGCATTGGGAAGCACAAGGTGCAGGTCTGGCTCAGTTTGACTTGAGGCAGCCGTGTTAAGACAATTCCCTGACTGTAATCCTAGTTATTCTGGTTAGTAAGTAATGGAGAGTTAGTCTACAGTGGTTTTGTAGTCAAACACATGTCTATTTTTTCTTCCATGCAAATATTCTTGCCTGAATAGCACAGTAAGAGCAGTCCTGGATGAAGGATGACAACAAAAGATGGAAAGTTGCCCTCAGCCAACTGATCTCCAGTGGTTTGCTCTTGTTTTCGGAGGCTACAGTTGTGTAAAATATGAGGGGAGCAGGTGAAACCCAGCGGACTGATTTCACTGGTCAGTTTTTGGAATGAAGCATGCTGTCCAGTCATAAACTCTCCTTTAGGCCTGTTCCAATATAGAGGCTACGTCTCAGCTCATTTATGCATTCACATAAAAAAAACACAAAAATCCAAAGATAGGACAAAGGAAAGGGCTGTTACGGGTGCACAGTAGCTGATTTATTCTGACATGTCGACCTTCAGTGACCGTACTCCAAGGACCTAGTTAAAATGCAGTATAGTTTTGGAACAGTAAGTTAGGCAGGAAGGTTTTTTTTAGGATGTTCATTGTATGCAGCACAGACTTAGCAGAGTCTTTCTAAAAGATTGGGGTGACTGGATAACTGACGATGCGTTAACAGACATCCGTCCCCGAAACTGACAGCACTTCACTGGGAATCTTAACCTTTTCCACTGGATTAGTCTTCCTTTAATCTCTGTCCCTCCTTTCATTCGTTCTCCTTTTTCCGACTTGAGAAGTCCAGCCTTGCAATGCTATTTTTTCCTGCTTGTCTGCTGGGCTTCACAGTTCAATTTTGAGCATTTCACTGGTTTGACTGGAATCATTTAATGGTCTTTCTCTCAATGGGTTCTTCTCAGCATTCATGTCTCACTTTCTATTGGTCAGTTTTCCCATTTCTTCCAATCTCAGGCCACCTATTGTGGTGGATGATGTCCCTGTCTCTCCCAGTCCCTTCATCCAAGGCAGGATGCTGTCTGCGGACGGTTCTGATAGTTATTCCGCTTTGCCTCACCGATTTGAGGGAAATGAATTCTATACCGTTCCGTGCTGCTCAGCCACTCCTTACGAAGGCCCAGCATCAAGTGCACTAAAGCCTAACAGTGAATCCCTCATTCTGAGTCTTTCCTTCTGCCATTCTCCTCTGCCCCCCTCCCCATCAACCCCTATTTTATTTGTTTGCTTAACATGAACTAGAATCCTGCAGGGACTCTTTCTGAAGCTGGTGGGCTGTTCTCTCCATCATTCCTTTTTTATTTTTCAGAGATATTCTTTGTCTTCACCACAAGGAGAGAGAGAGAGAGAGAGAGAAATGGAGGGAGAGAGAGATAGGTATTTTTAGCTCTATGACCTATTTCTCCAAAGCTACCTAACTGACTGTCAGTCATTGCGCTGGAGCTCAGGGACCTCATGTTGAATAGTCACCGTCAGTAGGCCACATGCACTAAAGTGCGTTGAGTTCCACCTCAACGGAAGCGAGCGATTGCGTAGAGTGGGAGCGTAGGGTGCAGACCTTGGTGAAACTCCGTTCAGCTGTAGGCAGGTGGGACTACTTGTGGGAAGAGCATCAGACGAGCCGGGGAATGGCTCAGTGTTCGGGAAAGGCGAAGGAAGAAAGAGGGAGGGTGTCAGTTCCTGGTGATTCAGTATAATCAGCATGAAGATCACAGCCAAACTGTTTAGAATGAGCCCTGGAGATGCAAAGTGTTTAAACATGAATATTAATAATGATCTAGGCTAGCGCTTTCTTTAGCTTCTTTTGTTTGAAACCAAATTCCACCTCTTTTAGTGCTTGGACCCCTAGCCTTTCTTAAGCTTTTGGTGCCCTCACAGGAGGGGCTTTTCTCAGACGCATACCTCATTGAACTGAACAGGGCAGTTTGATTGAAAGGGTTCTTCCATGCAACAACACAACTGTAGACTGGTCTCCGCAGAGAATGCCTACAGGGCAGGCCTTTAAACAAACAGATCTAACAAATGTTCCTTCCAGTGCTTCAGCTGCAGCATAAAAGCAGTAAGAAATCATGTTTGTAATCCTTTTTCAACGTGCATCTGTGCTCTCCGAGTACTTTTGATTTCTGATAGTGTATTGTGTGTGTAATTACTTGCAGTCTACAGTGTAGTGGTCCATTTTTGAGTGTGTGGGTGTGTCGCATGTTCACTGCCTGTATTTTTCTACATCTGTGCTTATTTTTCAACCAGCTGAACATCAAGAATCTGCTTAAAATGTCCGCGTTGGTGTGCCCTGTACATTTGAATCTTTTTGGGCTGCTATAGCCTGCTTGGTGTGTGTTGCTGAGAGTTGATGCGCGGTGTGCATGTGCGTGTGTGTGTCAGTGCGAATCAGCCTGTGCATTTTAGAGTCGTAGAGCAATGCAGAACTCAAGTCCGGCCGCTCAAACGCCATTCCATCAGAGGAGCTTTATAGCTCTTCTACTTTGGCTGTTATTACGTGGATGGATCCTCTACCCTGACCCTCAAACATTATTAAAGTGCTGGAAAAAAATCCTCTCCACACTGACCAAACAGTCTCCACTGGCCTTTTTCACTGGGGATCCATATGCGTAGTTCTTGTAGGAGGCCAGAAATGGCCTGATATTGGTCTGAATGGAGTGATGTGAAGACATCACCAAAGAAAACAAACCAAATCTGAATGCTTGTTGAGAGGCAGACTGATGATGCTTTGAAGGAACCATTGAACAGGTGCCTATGAGTCAGAAAGCAGAGAGAAAGCTAAGAGAATGCCATATAGACTAAACAGCGGACGGCAAACTTGGAGTGTGATTGCCGTACTCCATAAAAAAGGTTCCAGATCCCTTCTTTATGGACCCTACACTCTGTACACTTTTGTGTTATCATCTGTTGACACATCTGATCGATTATTGACTGGTAGGTTAAATCAAGTGTATTTAATAAGGGATGAGAACCATTGGTCTAGTCTATTACTCCAAAAAGTAAAACAGGTTTGATTAGGGAAAACACAAACAATGTGCAAAGTAAGGAGTCTCTGTGATTAAGAATGGGAACCATTGGCTGATTGGTGTATTAGGTAATAGACTGGACTGTGAACCTATGTTTGCATTTCCCCTACTACAACACATCTGATTGATCACTGGATAATGATTTTGAGTTTTCTGCATTGTGTTGTAACAGTTCAAACCAACATATAGAATAAACATGCTTTGCCTCAGAAGGAATAGGAACCCACTTCCATGTGCACATTCGGCAGTGTGCTTGAGATGACGGCTAGTCTTGCTTGTACTGCTGCAGGTCACTGATTGAGAGTGAGGCTGGACATCAGGAACATGTCCCTGCACTGGCCGCAATTTATGGATGCAAGCGGGCTGTGCCAGCAAAAGCCCAACAGTATATCAGCATAATGGGCAAATGTTTCAGAGGATTTTTAGTAATAGATAAGAATTCTGCATATTGGTATATCGACATCACATACACTGATGAGAAAGCAGCGTCTAAGCACAAATGCTGTCGCAAGGAAACTGGATGCTACGTGCTGTGTATGTGTGTTTATTGTGTAGTGGAAAGTGTATATCTGTGCAGTTCTGCACAGTACTGGCTTTCTTAGCCAGTTGCAACAGATTTACTGAACTGAAATGTACAAACATACAAATAGAGGGAGCTACTAAAATTAGTATAGTGCAGTATAGTTTTGAAATCCTGTTGAACTGACATTCTAACTCTCAGGATATGTAGACCAACCTTATTTGTTGACATTATACTATATATCATTCAGTCCTAGTAAATAATATGAGGTTCTGACACATTTTAACATTGAGACATAAGACTATAAAACTTCCTTACAGCAAACATGGTCATTTTTGTCCTAATATTAAGAAAATAAAGCTGAGTTACAC